TATATATATATATATATATATATATATATATATATATATATATATATATATAATCTCATTGATTTTTTATGTAAAGTTAAAAATTAAAGTAATAGATTGAAAATCTCTGACATTCTTAAAAATAAGACGATTAGGACTCGCGTGCAGTATTGTAAGAATTTATTGCACGAACCAAAGAGCCGAAATCCTAAAATTGTCGACAAGATCAGAACTAGCTTGATGTCTCTAATTCACACTGATTATGTCAATTAAAAATGGCGCGTATCTTCATTAATTCATTGGAGGTTGAGTTTGGTGGTAATGATAACGCGTACGCACTGATCAAAGGACGTGCAAACAGCAAGGCCAAGCTTATCCGGACTCCAGTCCAGAGAGTTCACCGGCTGCGAGGACATAGTACTCTGCTGCAAGAGCTTTAAGCTCCCAATTACGCCCTCCTGGATTCCCTCCGCATCTTCTATGTACCGCTTTTCTGGGTATTCACTGTATATAAAGAGGGTAAACCTTCAATGGACAGCGACCATGTACGTAATTCCTTCCTAATTTCATGCCTAACATTAGCTTTATAATATACATGTTTGTAATGCATTTTATATGATACTACGTTTAAATATTTATCTACCGCTATACTGATTATAATAAGAAATATGTATGTTTATTAATTTTCAATACGAATATTTATTAAATATTATTTCAGGTATATTAGCCAACAACTGTATGTCGTCTATTAATGTTATTAATCCGTTATTGCTCATTTTTGTTTTGTTTTGTTTTTTGTTGTCAAAATATCGATATAACTTAATAATTAACTAGTTAATTATTTATTATTTTATTTATAATATCAAATATCAATGGAACTAATCGTTATCTGTCTATCTTTTGAATCTATACCTTATACATACATTAAAATTTTATAAAAATAGAGTAATTGAATGTCAACTTAATTTTGCGAAGAACTTTTCTAATTTTCAATAAATTAGATAAAATTAATTTTCGTACTGCAAGGTTTGATTTAATTGATTTGTAGGTGATTAATTTTTATTTGAATCATATTTTGAATCAAAGCATTTAATCTTTTCCAATTGGACTAATATACCAAATACATAAACTACACGGCCAACATAAAAATTAGTCTATTATATTAATTGACACCATTATTAAAAAATTTATTCGAAAATCATTTTGATATATCATAATTCTCGCTGATATTAAAATAACTTAAAAAAATATAAACAAAATAATTTTATGTACAAAGTTTTTAAAACGTAATAACATTAAACATAAAGAAATATCAAAAGAAATATTAAAGAAATGATATTAAACTATAATAAACTTTATTGGAATTTTTAATTATTTTTATGAATAAAATTAAATTATATCTTACTATTTCCATAAACTTATGGAACCATTACCACCAGCAGTTGCACAAATTTCTCTATTTTGAGGAAGGTGACGAACGAGCCAAATTGTCGATGAATGTGCCTGAAAAGATAATTAAAAGATAATCAAAATATAATTATGTAATTTTTCATATATTTTTAGTTGAATATTGTATGTTGAATAATTTTTGAAAATTCAACAATTATTTTTCAACATTATAAAAACATCAATTTATATTACAAACACATAAGAAGTTCAATGCTTATTCATTAAAAATGTATTTAGAAACAATTCCATTATTTATTGTTACAATATTAAAAATAAAATAATATGAAATTTTAAACACTGAACAACACTAAATTAATAATGTATTATAAATTCACCTAATTTCAGTATCATTTAATAGATACATTTTCTTTTATTATTTCAATATTGCAAACAAATTTATATTTTTTACTTGGTTGCTGCATAACATTTACTGATACAAGGGATGCAAATAATAGTGATGAATCAGCAATTTTGAATGAGATTAAAATTGCATTATACGCTATCGAGTAAATTAAAATCAAATTAACAAAATTGAAGTTATTATTTTCCCATCTTATTTACACATTTAAAGGTGAATATAATATGTTCAAAATATTTTTTATGCTAAATTTGTTAATGATCGCACATTTCAACATTGAGTATTACAGGAGGGTATTTAGAATTTGAAGATTTTTAAAGATACTCATGTCTGAGAAAGTATATTACTTTCTCGGTGAGATAGGCAAAGCCCTTGGTGGGGTGTTGAGTCCTCAGATCAAACAAGAATAATTTAGACTCAAGGGTGGTGGCGACCAGCTTATTCATGGCAACGTCTCGTCTATCGAACTCTATGCAACAGACTCCATTCTTAAGATTGGTCTCCCACTTAAGAGTCATCATACGGAGATCGAACATTTTAATATCACCGTTGTCGAAACCTGCGGTTACACAACGCTCTTCGCAGTTGTACGAGTTACCAAAGGCGACGGTCCAACAATCGCGCCTCGAGCCTCCGACTACGGGCTCCATCGTTGCCACCGGTTGGTCCTTCTGACGTATGTCCCATACCTGCCCATGCAAGATTATATTATACATTACGCATGAATCTTTGTTTCTCATACACAAAGAAATTACGGACTTTGTTTATTTAAAATACCCATGACTATAGGTGTATTTGAAATGTGATACCTAAGTTTTTTATGTACCGAGGATTCTAACTCTTTTACAACTACACATTAAGGATATTATGATAAGATGCGGGTTTACAGTATATATAGATAAATATATTTTCAAGTATAAAGGATAAAAACATCAAAATTTCAAACTAGTTTTGTTATTTCCATTGATTGTAAAAGATAACTCTGCTTTTAAAATAAATATGCATATTTTATCACTACAAAGCTCAACACTTGTTGATCTTGTTCTCAGCAATATACGTAATATTATTACCATAATATTGCATTAGCAATAAATAGTATTAATTAAACATTCATAAAGCAAACACAAGTAACGAAATTCTTTTTACAACAATTTTTTTTTATAAATAAATTTATAAACACTTCATAGAAAATATGTTAAGTCATTGGTAAGTATATGCGAATATAGCTAAATTAAACCAAATAATCCTTTCAACTTTAGTGCACATTGATTTTTTTGACTAGAAATTAGGTGATGACTTTACTATAAAAATACCACGAGACATTATTTATGAAAATAAAACTGAATATTGTATTTACGTTTTATCCTGACGCAGTAATGTATGTATGTGTATAAAAATTAATTCCACTAATCCGGCTCGTCGAAGCAAACGTGTAGAATTAACTAAGAAACCACTAGATATTGTGTGGGAGAATTTATTTCTGAATGAATTATTTATAATTACTTATATCTTTCAAACATTGATTGAGAATGAACAGCGATTTCCCTATGATTAAATAAAAAAGTTTAATTTATTTAATTGTTTGTTATTAACTAATTAACTTTGTGATATTGATTGATAAACATAGAAACAGTGACAAAAAAGTGTGTAATTTAAAATGAAAATAAAATTAAAAATGAATAAATTCAAAAGAAAAAGAAAACAATAAAAATATAGAAAAAGCGAATTACAACCTTCACGCTGCCCTCCCGCGAGCCTGTAAGAATTTCCGGAGCGCCGCAACCGATGGAATCACCGGCTACGCCGTCGATTGCATTGATGATTTCTCCATGTGCATTCGCACTGTATACAGGTTCTGATGGCTTTTCCAAATCGTAGAGCTGCAATTTTCCCTAAAAAATTGATATCATGTAAGTTTCACTTCTTGCATTTATTTACTAAGTAGTGTGATTTACGAAGATAATTATTAATAAAGAATTCGATATTTTCTATTGCATTACCAAGGGTATTTTGCGAAACACTTGGATATTTTTAACTCTCACAAAGTCTGAAAATAACAAATTTATTGCGATGTAATCATCTCCAAAAGCCACTGTATTACTTACTTCGAGTATATATTTTGTATGTGTATTGTAAAATATAGATATTTTGCATTGTTGAATTTACAAAAAACTGAGACAATAGAGATCCCATATTGAACAGGGTATTAGAGATATTTTTATATAATTTAAAATGTTATTATTTATGGTTATTATTTATTTACAAAAACAAGAATACATAAAAACATTTATACGCGTTGTTTATTTGGAATAGCAAATAGCATAGAAGACTTGTGGACATAGATTTTATTGAAGAAAATACTAATATTTGATGAAAATATAAATACTACTGTTGTTAATTATGTTATACATTATAGGATAGTAAACGGTTATAATAAATTATAATAGTATAAATTATGATCAGTTCAGTATTTGATGAACTTGGTTTTATCATTTCTATACATTGTGGACATTCTTTTTATTTTTAAGTATATCTGTAATTGATTATATATATATAAATTTAAAAAGTTCTTTTTTAGTATTTTGCAATGATTATTGATTTTGAGTTACAGAAAAACGAAATCGTTCTTCACATATCTTCAAAATAAAATTTAATATTTTATAAAAATAAATTACATGTATATATTATAAAATATTAAATTTTATTTTGAAGATATGTGAAGAACGATTTCGTTTTTCTGTAACTCAAAATCAATAATAATTGTAAAATACTAAAAAAGAACTTTTTAAACGTCAACTTCAATTAAAAAAGCAATTTAATTATTTTTATATCTAAGTACTGGCTCAGGGTGCATTTATAAATGTAGATTTATTTTTAATTATAACATTTAAAATGATAACTTCGAAGAAGAAAGTATAAGTAGAATTATACGATTCATATTTAAAAAAAAAAAAAATACAAATATATGGATTATCAATTATTTCAGTTACAAAAAATCAATCTACAATACATTTATCATACATTATATCATTAAAATTACATTTTCTTTTTTTTTCATGCACATAACACAATTACTCATTTCGTCATACACATATACACGCACGTCTACTCTCTCTAGCTTTTTTTCTTTACAAATGCAACGTGTATCTAGTTTTCAATATTTGAATCTCTATTTTATGTTACGTTTTAAGATTTATAAGATTAACGCTTTTCTCTGTTGAAAAACATTGATTTTTATGTTGTATGCTTAGAGAAAAATTATATAAGAGTAAACATCATAAGCTTTTGTTTTAATAGCTATACTTAATATTAATAATTTCAAATTTATCGTCAAATAAATTAAGTATAAAAGAAAAAGTTTATATATTACTATAAACAAGTCAAGTAAAGTGTTGAATAAAACGTTGAAGTAAATTAGTTTTTCACGTATTTTGTAAATTAAAATTAATTTAAAATATTAGTTATCTTTCAATGCTAGAACTTTTTTAGACTACAATTTTGACGAAATTAGAAAACTAATTGCAAAATATAAATTAGAGAAATAACAGTTATATAATTAATTATTTTTTAATAACTAAACGCATGAAATACAAAACATTACTCGTTTAGCCATTATCATCTTCGTTATCTTCAACATCATCGCCAACATTACCACAATCATCATTATCATCACTATCATTATTATAACTATTATTGATGTTAATAATTATTTAAAATTCACATTTACATTTATTAAACAATGTTTAATAAATAATTTTTTTTAAATTAGAAAAATAACTTACATATGCTTTTAGTATTGCACTTAAGAGTAGAATACAATTAAGAGTTTATATATATCTATACTTACGTATTATATTATTTCATATTTTTAAGTATATTAATTTTCTAAATTAGGTGTAATCAGGATCATTGTCTTATCTTAAATGAACGTATTGATTATATTACTATTTTTAATTATTTATTTAATCATGACAATAATAAATAGTATAGCAACCATAAAATCCTTTATCCAAGTGTTAGTATATAGTTCATAAAGTAATATTCGTTTTAAATAATATTATAAATTATTATTACATATTAATTTAAATTAAAGCAAAATTTTACAAGTATAAATTTATTAATTTTATGAGCAAATTTTAATATAATAAACATTGATAAAAATAATATTTCTAATAATATTAATTTCAAAAGTTTTTAAAAAAAAAGTTTTATAAACATACATTTTTTTTTAATTATATTTATCATATTATAAAATATAAATAAAAACATAAGTATAACTAAGTATTCATTAAGTTTAAATGAAGCGTAGCTAAAAACTTTTTAATTTTATAGCGCTAAATGAAATAAAATGTCGGTTGAGCACATGGATTTGGTTGACGTCTAGTGTTGTTTGGTAACTGTCAAACTGTTGTGATATTAAATGCTCGTTATTTATGAAACCTTAACGACAAAAAAATGAAAAAGCTCCTACCTTAAAATCTCCAGTAGCCAAATAACGAGTTCTAAGGCTCGAAGCCTTGAACGTCCCACACTTTATGGGGTTCGGCTTGTCGATGGTTTTGATAAGAGAAAGATTGCCGCTCGACACTTCATAAATTTGGATTATACCAGTGCCACGAGGCCGTGTACCCATAATAACAAATTTTGCACTGCATGGTATCCATTTGGCGTCAAATATTGTATAATCCACTGATTTTTCAATGTGACTGATTATTTGTGGCTTACTGAGTTTATCCATAATTATTGAGGCAAGTGCTCTCAATGTGATTACACTTTCTGTATTTAATCACAAACACAAAGATTATTGAATACGAATTGTACAATCGATTGTCCAAATTCGATCTTTGTTTTATTATTTGCATTTATTTACGCCATTATTACAGAAAATAATAGCTTGATAGTTCTACACAGACTTAATTTCTATGGTTTCGCACTAAATTCTTGATATAAACAAACGCTAGCGCCATCTACCGTATATAATCGATTTTAAGTGAAACAAAAATTTTAAATAGTATTAAAAATCGAACAATTGTACGATATTTTCAAGTTACAAAAGTACTTAACTCACTTTAGTAATTTATTAATAAAAGAGAAAAATAATACAAGAAATAAAGTTATATAAAATTTTTTATCTTTTGTCATCTTATATTATACAATTTTTTCACATATACATAACTTTTAATAAAATACATGATTAAATGTATATATAAAATACTATGATACAGTTATATAAATCTATTATTTTAAATTAAATATAACCATATTAGAAGTCTTTAATTTGAATGCTTTTTAATTATAAAAAAATATATATTAAGCATCTGAATTAAAAGCATTATAAACTTACATAACTTGTCAATATCAAATATCTATATCATTTTCAATTTCTATTTCATCTTCATTTTCATCTTCTTGTTCATCAACGTTTTCAATATTTTCATCTTGGCTACCCAAGTTGCTTTGATTATCTAAATTTTCTTTGTCTATTGACAAATTAATTTTAGGAGTTGTAATTTTTGCTCTAAATTGATTAATATGATTAAGAAGACGTTTTTCTCCAGATGTATTTAACTAAAAATAATTTGTTTAAAAAATAAATTAAAATTAATCAAACTTTATTAAAACTAAAAAATATATAAAATATAGGCTTTACCATAACTTCAACATCATCTAAGGCTTTTAAAATATCATTTTTCAAATTTTCTCCATCCAATTGAACATCTAACATTTTTAAAGATTTTATGAGTACTTCTATTAAAATTTCAGTATCAGGATTCAATATTTCGCTTAATATTGTATATGTAAGTTGGTTATGTATGCTGTAATTATTATGAATTGCACAGCATGTAAGACTAATAATTACTTCACTAACTCTGAGAACATCAATTTCTTGCAAAGTGCTCATTTCTGGTGCATTAGCTAATGTTTTCAATGTTGGGAGATATGCTTCCTCCAAAATGGCTTGGCTTTCAGATACTTTACTAATGTAGAGATTAAAAAAATTGCAAAGACATTGACTCAAAAATGGATTTTCTTTTGCAGCTTGACTGTGCCATAAAATTAATAATTGTGATATTAAATGATGACCACTTATTCGTTTATGCAAAATTAACTTACAAAGACCTTCAGTAGCAACAGATTGAAGATTCACAATCTAGGAGATATAAAATTATTGAGAAGAATGTTTTATTTCATATAATATTTTAATTAAAATAGAAAAAAAATTTATGCATAAAATAAAAATATTTGTAACATTTAATTTCTTAAACCTATATTAATAACTGATAGAAAAACGTACCTGACTATCTAACAGCGCCATTAATGCTTTTATAACATTGTTACTACTATCAGTATAGCTTATTTGTTTATCATTAACGTTAATATCCTCATCATTATGAGAATACAAACGTACAGACCGACTCCTTTTACTGCTATTAAATTGAATATTATTACTATCTTCTTGAGTTATGTCAAAATGTTCAAAACCATACTTCAATAATAAATCAAAAATTACTTCAGTTGCAGCTATCCATACATCCTCATTACCAGATTCAGAAATATATAAAAAATACATCATGAAATATTTTTTAGCTAAGTCTTTATCTACATGACAACAAAGACCAACACATTTTAAAGCTAAGCTTAATACTCTATCATGATTGTTTTGAAGCTAAAAAGAAAGTATGAATTTTAATTGAATCAACTAAAAAGTTTAGCTTTTATAATATTTACTAACATTGATATATGGCAATGCAATACTATCCATTAACGTTCTTAATGCTGGTGTTAAAATTGTTATTGTAATAGATTGCATCATGTAATACATAATTTGTAAGCACTGCATTACTGTCTCAGGATCGGTTTTTTCTTCACAAGGATTTTGCGTTTCTGTTACTTCAGGTTCCTTTGATAAATTTTCTATTTCTGCTCTTAAAGATGCTACCTTTATACTTATTGCTTGTGCAGTTGAATAATCTTTACGCTGTATTGCAGAATATTCATCATCTTCAAGTTCTAATAATTGCATTCCAAGTTTTGCTTTCTAAAATAAATTAAAGAATAAAATTCAGTATTATACAATATATAATTTATTTATTGAGAAATAATGCTATTAAAAAATTTAATACACAAGATTTCATTTATTGTAATTCATATTTTATATTTTTCAATTATTAAGTACATTTATTTATACTATTCTTTAAATTATGTTATAAACTTTATATTATATATGTGTAATTGATTTTTGTATTTAATAATTGCAATATTTAATTTCAATGTACTGTTCAACTAATATTCTATATTGATATAGTATATATAATTAAATATATTTACCATCATTTTTCTTTCATGCCGTTCATCATCTGACATTGGTACAATAGCATTAATCTTTGTTGGCATTCTTATCTCATTAATAACTTCCACTAATAGAGCGACTCTATCTGTTACATCTGGAACTACCTTGTCAAAATACTTTACAATACATTCATTTATTTTCTCTGAACAATAATGAGTTTGTAAAGTATCTAAGATTAATTCTTTTAAATTTTTTCTCCCCATTTCATCAGACAAATCATGGAGTTTAACCATTTCAAATAGTTGATGCAAAATAAATTGTTGAGTAATATGTTCATATTGTTTATTTGTTCTTGTGTCAATTAATGTAATAAAGTCCTTAATATAACTACAAAATAAAGATAATTCAGGCATAATTTGATCAAACTCATCTATGTAATTTTCATTCTTTAAAAACTCAACTAAACAACGCCAATATAGAATGATTTCGCTACTCAATTGTTCAATAGGAACAAATTTTGTTTTATCTATTGGTAATTGTTCTATTAAATTTCCAATATCTTCATTCCTATTAACAATTTAAACATATTAATAAAAATTAAGAAACATAAATATTAATTTTTATATAGTATATAAATATTAAACTTATATATTTTTATCATTTAAAACTTACTTAAATAAACAACTTAAGGCTAAAGCGGTTGTTTCAGCTGCATGTTCAGCATCTATAGCCTTTATAAAATTAATATAATTTTTATCATAATAGCGAAGCCAGGATGGTATCAGTATTTCTCTTACACACTTTTTAATCATGTCAGATCTATCTCTTAAACCATTGTTTATTAATTGTTCTCTTTGGGATATTGTCAATGACTTAACTGTTATTTTACTGATAAATAAGTAAGCCATTTTACGAACAGAATCATCAACATCTCTTGTTCTATTTATAGCTGCATTTAAAGTTATTTTATTTTTAGCCATTTTTGTCAAAATTACTCTTCTTACTTCTGCACTAGGATCTCTAGACAAGTGAAATAAATATACACTTATAACAGAACATGCTTTATTATTTGGTTCTTGTAATCTATTAAGGGCAATAGCAGCTTGTGCCCTAACTTTTGGTGATTTATCCAAAATTCTTTCCATCATACATTGTAAAATTCTGTTACATAATTCATCTTCAATAGTGGCATTATCACCCATTGTATCCAATATCATATTTAGAAAATAACATACTCGAAATCTGACCTAAATATAATATAAAAACATAATTACTATTAATACATGGTATTAAATTTAAGTTAAATTTATAAATATACATATTTTATATATAACTTAATAGAATGTCTTTAAATAAAGTTTAACGATATTTAGCCTATAAATAATTATAAGTGAAAATTATTAAAATATATTACCGCTACATCCTTTGCACCATGGTGAGTTAATAGAAAAATAAAAATTTGTTCAAGAAATGCACACACTTCTTCATATTCTTCTTCATTATCACTTTGTGGTTGCAAGCTTATTGCAAACTTAGCAGCAAATTGTAATGTATTTTCAACATTGGGATGTTTTTCAATATAAGTTAAAGGAATAGTAAGGTTAGATATGAACTCACGTACAAAATATTTAAAATCCATCTAAAATGAATTAATAATTAATTTCTGCAAATGTATATCACATACTTCAATTTTAAAAAACCTTGATAAACTTACTTTGTCATAGTACTTTCTTAATTTTTTCATATAATTTTGGTGACATGTACGATTGTATTGAACAGCATGGAATACTTCACTTATTTTATTTGGTTCTATTCTAATAGGCATGTTTTAATACTTTTTTTAATAAATAAATACGTATATTTTATTGGACATTGAATGAAAACATGTATATATACGTTATTAACAAAATTTTTAAATTTTCTCAAGCGTCATTCATGTAATTTTAAGTTCCACGATGACCAACTGAGAAAATAAATCTTGGATATTGAAAAACCTTATTATATATATATATATATATATATAATATGATTTGTATGCAACATTACAATATTTATTCTATTAATAATCATAATAAAATTATAAATATAATACTAATTAAATCTATTTTAAACACCTAAACAAACAATTAATAGTTTTATTAAAAAAATAATTTTCTTATTGGAATTAAAATTTTTGAAAATAATGTCCCTCTGACGGTAGTTATTTGAATGTGTAGATTTAAATCCTGAAAGTGCAACGGTTGTGCAGGAATTAGATGTCGGAGAAGACGCTGAGAGAAAAAAATCTCACTGTACGGTAAAAATAGGGGAACTTCGCGAGTATCGGCGAAATCGCTGTAAAAGCGAACTTAAATTTACAAACGTGAGTGTAAACGTTGAAAAAACAATAAAAATGAATGACACACGTAATAAAAAGGATAAAAATCAGCACATACAAGTTTTTGTTCGCGTAAGGTAAGGAAAATCAAGACAAAGTGTCCGTTACATTCTGAAGATATAGAAAGTGTCAAACGTGATAATTCAATTGACCTCTGGATTTTTTTATATTATATTATTATCTTACTGTTTTGCTTTTATCTAATTTAGTAATTTCTTAACTTTATTGTTTTTCTACATTTTTGTTTTTTGTATGTATTTTAAATGCACATATTTTCATTAGTGTATTTCCAAACAAGTCCTTGTTTATAAAATAACATTACCAATTAAAATAACAGTACATTATTAATATATAGATTAATAACATTATATATAATATTCAGTTTTATTAAAAAGTAATACATTTCTTTCATTTTCAATTGTTTTAAGTTTTACAGAAAATTTTATTTTTTATTTTTAAGACCAATTAATAATATAGAAAAAACAAACAAATCACCAGTTGTAGTTGATGTTGCTTCTAATAAAGAGATAGTTGTTCGTGAAAGACCACAAGATAAACTCACAAAAAAATTTACATTTGATAAAGTATTTGGACCAGTTTCTAAACAGGTACTTGAAATATAAACAGTTTTTAAAATAATTTTGATATTTTAAAAGAATTATAAAATAATCTTTACTTTTTAGATTGATGTTTATAATGCAGTTGTTAGCCCACTTTTGGATGAAGTTTTGGCTGGTTACAATTGTACTGTTTTTGCATATGGCCAAACTGGTACAGGAAAAACATTTACTATGGAAGGAAGTTGCAATGATCCAGCCTTACATTGGCAAACTGTAAATAAATATAAATTTTATAATTTAAGATTAAACTTTAAAATTATATAAATATACATAACAACTTTATATTTATACAAATTTTTAATTCAAAATACAAATTCAGTAAATATTCAAAAATAAAACTTTATTTAATATTATCCATTGTATGTATGTATATTTATTTCTTAAATTTTATTATTTGTATATTAATTTATCGTTTTGTATTGAATTTGTAAATTTAGAATTGTTAGAATGAATAAAGTATGTTATATTAAAATAAATAGAAATAGAAATTACTAATTAATGTGTAAATAATATATTGAAATTTTAGAAATAGTATATATAACATAATAATGTAAATTATATTCTAATATTTTATTATTTGCATTATTATATAATTATATACTTTATGTATTATTTTAAGATTCAACAGAAGGAATCATACCAAGATCCTTGAGTCATTTATTCAATGAACTAAGAACCCTAGGTGCTCAAGAATATTCTGTTCGAGTTAGTTTTTTAGAATTATATAATGAAGAGTTATTTGATCTTTTATCACCCAATGATGATGCATCAAAAATCAGGTAACTAATGAAAATTAAGAACTTCTTAAATAGTATTTTGTAGTAACAACCAATAATATTATTTACTGTCAGAATATATGAAGATGCATCAAGAAAAGGTGCAATTATTATTCATGGATTGGAAGAAGTCACAGTTCATAATAAAAGTGAAGTATATAAAATTTTAGAAAAAGGTTCTGAAAAACGCCAAACAGCAGCTACATTAATGAATGCGCACTCAAGGTATCTATTTATTGCTAATGTAATAGTAATTAAATTTAAAATTGTAAATAATTGTTAGTATTTACTATTTTCACTTTAATAGTCGATCTCATACAGTATTTTCAATAACAGTACACATAAAAGAAAATACAGTTGATGGTGAAGAACTCCTTAAAACTGGTAAACTTAATTTGGTGGATTTAGCTGGTAGTGAAAATGTAGGTAGATCAGGTGCAGTTGATAGACGAGCAAGAGAAGCTGGTAATATTAATCAATCATTACTAACTCTTGGAAGAGTTATCACTGCCTTAGTAGAACGAGCACCTCATGTTCCATATCGGTATAAATTAGAATAATAAAAAATTTAATTAGTTGTATTAATAATAAGTAAATTATTTTTATTTACTTTTATAACTAAATTTTAGTGAATCAAAATTGACAAGACTACTTCAAGAGTCACTGGGAGGACGAACTAAAACTTCCATTATTGCTACCATATCACCTGCCAATATGAATATAGAAGAAACACTTTCTACTTTGGACTATGCGCACCGTGCAAAAAATATAACAAATCGGCCTGAAATCAATCAAAAGTTATCTAAAAAAGCTTTGCTTAAAGAATACACTGAAGAAATTGAAAGATTACGACGTGATTTATTGGCATCGCGAGAACGTAATGGCATTTATTTAGCTCAAGAAAATTATAATCAAATGCAATCCCTAATTGAAATGCAGAGTAAAAAAATTGAAGAAAAAATCAACCATATTAAAGCTCTAGAAGAAACTATGCACAATAAAGAAGTAAGCATATTATTTTATCATTATAATACTTTTTCATCATTAAATATTAAATATTTATGTTTTAGAAAATATTTACTGATCTTAAAATAGAATATGAATCAACTACTAATGCATTATATAAAACAAAAGAAAAATTAGAGTCAACAAAAAATGTTCTTATAACAACACAGAATGAATTAAGTGATATAGCTTTCGATAGGGATTTAAATAAACATTTAGTAGAAAAGCACGTAACTACAGAACGAGTTCTTTTAAATCAAGCTCAAACTTTGTTAAATGTTGCTGAAAATGCAACAATGGATACACAAAAATTACATGAAAAAATTAACCGTAAAAAGTATGTTTGTATTTTTTGTATTTCATGATTAATTATTATTTTATAATTGTTAAATACACAGTCTAATTTTTTACTTATATTTAAATTTTTAGACAAATAGAAGAAGAAAATGAATATTTAGGTAAAAAATTTAAACAAGAAATGTTTCATTCTTTTAAACATATTCAAGGAGATTTAGAAAATTATACTCAAGAATTAGTTAAATTTTGTTTTTCTCTTAAAGATCAAATGAATTCTGTAATAGCTTGTCAAAATAATGGAACTGATACAGCAATAAAGCATATTTCTGTAGATCTTATACAACAAGAAGTAGAAATATCTAAAAAATTGACAGAACAAGCAAACAATTATGTGAGTTATTAATTTATAAATAAATAATATACATATATATATTATATATTTTTTATATACACGTTATGATATTATATAAATATATATATATTATACAATAGTGCTTTTTTTAATGAAAATTTTACATATTTGTATCTTGTAGTATGATGATTACCATAATTGGATTCTCACACAAATAGAAAAGGCTTCAGATATGACTCAACATGAACGTGAAGTACTTCAAAATATTTCTACAAAAATATCTCCTAAAATTCGACAACTTGTTGAAAATAAAATATCTGAAAATTTAAAAATGTTACATAAAGAAACATCTTTAAAATTGTTAAATCTAACACATACTATGAAAAAATCCATTGATGACTTTTGTAATACTTTACTTATTGATCGAGATAATTTGACTAAGCAAATTGATGAAATTAAAAAATATATAGAAATTTCTGTTGAAAATGAAAATCGAATAGTACAAAATGAAAATTTATTTTCGAAGGTTTGTCAAAACATTTAATAATATGCTTTTAATACATTTAACAATATCACTCAAATTATTAATTATTAATTAAATATCAAATAAACAGATGTTTAGTGATTTGAAAAAGCAATTTGACCATACATGGCAACAATATGAAGAGACAAATACAGAAAATATACGTTGTCATTCAATTGTTTCAAATAAATTAAATGAGATTCAAATTAAAAATGATCAAGTTATCGAAAATAATTTGAATAGTTTTAATAAGAATGTAAATAAAAAAAAATTAATTGAAAAAGAAATTGAAAATTGTATTGAAATTATTAGAAATGAAGTTTCATCAACTTTAAAAGAAGTAAAATTATATATTTTTATTTCTTCAAATAAAAAATGGATATTAAATATTTTTTTATTTTTAGAATTGGAATATAGCAGAAAATGCAGTCGTTCAAAGTACTGACGTTATTAATCAATTAGAAGATAATTTAAATGCATCTCAACATACTTTAGTGTCTTATAATAATTTAATTAAAGATAATGCTGTAGAATTACAACATAAAACTGAAAAAGATAAGGAGGTATTAGTAACTAAAATTCAAGTAAGTGAAGTTACTATGCTTATAATTATTAAATAAATCCATTAAATAATAAAACAATGTTACTTTTTAATTTTTTAATTACTATTTTTAGGAATATCATAAAATTATTTCAGATGCAAGTACAGCACATACAAATTTTATGGAAGAACAACGTATTGCAGCTCAAAATAGTTGTAGTGATATAAATTATAAATTAGAAAATCAAGCATTAGGATCTTCAGAATGGAATAATAAACTCAATTCTCAATTGAATTCAACACACGAAAAGATTGAAAAATTTATTGTGGAAGAGTTACGTCGTGACAATCCAACAGGTACAGTAAATATTAATTCAAACTAACTTAGAAATATAGAATGAGAGAAAATTCGTTTTATTTTAGAAGTTTGACTTGTTAGTAAATTAATATCATAGGCAATCAATAGAATAAATTAAGAAAGTTAATAAATAAGTTAGTAAATCAGAAATTTATGGTACATTTTTTAAAACAAATCTATTCAAGTAGTATTGTAAATTACTATTATATATTTCTTTATTAGGTTTAAACTTAGGATAAAAAATAATTTAATACTTCACAATAATGAACATTATATTATCTATTTGAAGTAATTAATATCCTTGTATTATATATGCGTATAAACAGGTAAGAAAATTTCTATTTTATTTTATAGGTACTACTCCTTCTAGAAAGGAATTTAATTATCCACGTCATTTAATAGCAACTTCTCCACACGAAAGAATTATTCAAAGGTTCCGGGAAGTTAAAGAAGTCGTTCAAGCATCAGACGAAGTTTGTATTTAATATTTAATATTTTTAAATATTTTATTTTATATGTATTCAAAATAAAAATAATTTCTTCAGGATAATAACACCATCATAGATATAATGTCTCCCAACATGAATGGTGAAGACTGCAATAGTTTGTCATCTCCTCCTCTCACCAAAAATAATCATGTAACATCTACACCACATAGTGAATCAAAAATAAGAATTCCCATAATACGTAATAATAGTTATAGTCTTATAAAATCTGCTTCAACTTCAGATATCCCTCTCGTCACAAAAGCCAAACTTGATTCAACAGCTATGTCTGAATCAGAAATTTTGAAGGTATTTAAACGAATTGTATCATTCTTTACAAATTTAATTGAGAATAAAATTAAAACGTATCAATATGGACAACTGAATATGTGTATTGTATGTAGGATCATGATAATAAGGAAAATGGACAAAAAGAATTCATAAAACCTGACAAATCAATGTCTAAGCAATTATCAAGGGTTAAAAGTGTTAACAGAAAAGTTCTAGGATCTTACAATTAGAAATATTTAAAAGAACTTCAGGTATGAAAGAGAGTCTTTAAAGCAAAGCATTTTTGCTTTCTATCGTTTTTCAGGTTTTATTTAATTAAAGTGAACTTTTTGAGGATTGATAAGTCCTGACGAATTGGTTCTATTTTAATTTTGTCAGTCCTACTATTTGAGTAGACTATTTTTTTTTTAACAATAGACGCGAGATTTTTTATAAGAAATGTATCGAATACTTTTAAAAACGTTTCGTACATTCATATACGCATATTTAATTTATGTATACAATGAACATTTTCTGGACTCATCGCTATCCTTACGTCAACATTCTTTTATAATGAATATAATTCCAGATACACAATACAAGTGTTGACGGTTGTTAAGGTTTTGCGTTTGTTTAGAAATTTATAAATAATTCCTGATAAAAATACTTATTAGAATTGTTTAAAGTTTCTATTTGTTGAGAAGTGTATATATATATATTTGTATGTATGCCTGAAACTTTCACTAAATAGAAAGTACATTGTTTGATGATATTAATCTTCTTTAGTGTAAATGTTATTCATAAAAGTTTTTAAATAATGGGAAAAATTCTTTAATATGGGCGTCTTACATAAAGCTTCAGAATTATGTTTTTAAGGGTTTAATATAAAATAAAAGAATTTTTTATATAAGTTTGTAAAGATTATTTTAATCGAAGAAAAACGAACAATAAATTAATTTCTTTATTCTTATAAATATAAGTCTAGCAAATAGTTTTATAATAGTGAATTTACAGTCATACAGATTCGAAGTTCTTCAATTACTTTTCTCTTTTTATTTTACTTATTTCTTATATAACAAATATAAAATATCTGTAAGATGCAATGTGAAATTAATATTTTTTGTACAGTAATAACATGACAGCCTAATGCGATATTATGCCAAGTCTTAATATTTAAGTAAAATACCGATTACTGTTCGTAATAAAATTCTATAGTATAGAAAGGCACTTCTGTCTTTTGTAAAATTATATAAAATAAATTTTACAATGAAAAATTATGCGTTCATTTACAAAGCACAACAGCAGTCATTTTCAATAACTGAAACATCTTTAGTTACTAATTTCAACGAAACCACATAGATAACGAAATATTTATTTTAATATTTACATAATCTATTATAATGGGTATTCGCATCGCTTTACGAAAACAATGAAAGTTGAGACGCTTTCTATTTTTTATATTTTTACTGATTTACAAGACAATAGTTAAATAATTTAATCGATTTTCAACATGTACAAAATATACATATTTAGCTATGAAAAATGTATAAGCTTCAAGATTCGTTAAAAAGCGGTAATAAATTGAATTTTTATCCAATGTTGTTGGACTTTACTTAAAAAGATCCACAAATAAAAAATTTTTATTTCTTCGGTCTATTAAATTTTTTTATCTTTACCTTTGTGATATATATAGATATATTTAGTCATTCAAATTTACTAAATACAATTATATATGTTGGTCTTAGATTCTCAACGAAATATCACAGCCAACTATGAATGTAAAATTCGAATTTTCTTATAATTTAATAAAAAGGTTTTTAAAGATTAAATTCCCCTTCCCAACTCTGCACGAAAAATAATCGCCAAGACGCAGTAACGTTTTTTGTTGAGTACACTATAGAATAAAGATGATGGTATTTCAATGAACTCGAGTTATGTCGAATGCACTACAGATTGTTTACAGATATAATTTGGTTAATCCAACCAATGAAAGCTGAGACTTTGACATAGACGCCTGGCACATCAACTCGTCCGCAGCCGAAACCCCATGAAACCAAGCCGGCAAGCTCGTAGAAACCGTCATCTTGACAGACTAATGGGCCACCACCGTCGCCCTATAATATAAACATAAAAATGTTATTTTATTCTCACATTTAAATAAAAAACAAAATAATTTTTAATATCACAAATATTTTATTCATTTTATTATTCATTTCAATATAATTCGTATCTTTTAGTATTCAACACATTCCATTTTCCAGGCTTTAAAAAATATATTAAGTTAGTATATATATATATTAACGATTTTAATGACTTAAATATTATGTACATTATTTGTATTCTGATACTAATATTTTAAAATGCACCTTGCCGTTCAACTTTATTGCTATACTTTGGTCAAAGAAATTGTCCTGTTTATAGATGCACCCATTAGTAAAACAGTGTTTTGAGGGAGAGGATAAAAAACGAAATGCTAAATACCAAGTAGCGATTTGCTTACCTGACACGCATCGTTGCCTTGTTCACCACCGGCGCAAAAGCTGCTGGCTGGCAGAATGAAAATCTTCTCTGTTACAGCATTTACTTTTCTAATGCACTCCGCATCACTTACTATAGGAATCTCTGCTTCACGTACTCTCAGTGGAATCGGGCCAGCTGTTTAGAAAAATAGGACAATTTTTCATATTTTATTTATTTTCTAAATTATTTTTATTATACATAAATTAATTAGATTTTTCTTTTTAATTGAGTGTACCTATTCTACTGAAGAAGATATTCAAGAAGAAATAAATTGTATTATTATAAGATTACATAAAGCTATGGCAAAGTAAGTTAATCTTCAATTCGTATGTAAATTAATGTATTACTTTTTATGGGCACTAAAATTTGAATAATAACAAGCAGTACTTTATTTTTTATCAGTAGTAGAATTACATAATTTGAAAGAGTTTACATATACAATAAAAATGTATAGTTTTAGAAGCAATCAATTTTATCTCGCAAATAAGAATAATAAAATCATTTCAATTTTAAAGACGTAATCGTAAGATTTATGTTAATTGTTTATAATTATTGAGAGAGAAACGGTCCTTTAATAACGCTGAAAATTTAGTTTCAGTTTCTTCTTGGTGAGAATAGCGTCTTAAATTCTACTATTGGAAATGCAAATATGAAACGTATATTGAGAAAATCAGAATTAAGCACGTCTCGGGTATTAATTTTTATTAACAAAGGCATACCTAATCTGACTAGCACCATTTGTAAATGTAGCAAATTTCTTCACTACAGTATGGGCGGAAATGAAAAATTGGTAATTATTCGAGTCGAGTTCAAGGAGTGCATGCCGAATAACGGTGGATTTATGAAAAGAGGATCGTAGCTCACCCTCGCCCATGTAGCCGTAGCCGGTAACAGTGCATCTTTTGCCAGCCGTATGACTCACACCCCTTGCCGGTAAACAAACGAGACAAACTCCATCCTTGAGCTCCGCCTGGCCGTGCAGCTTTAAGAGAGCGATATCATTGTCCAAGGTTTGGCTGTTGTGGTTATGATGAATGTAGGTTGTGGCAACGCGCAGAGTCTGGGCTCCGGGGCTCCCGTACTTTCTCGTAAGGTCAACGTCACCAACGCGAACATAGATCGCATCACCTGATCTGACAATGCTGTGCCACAGAGACGTAATTCTTTTATGCTGTGTTAATAATGGGTATTAGCGGATGTAAGCGAGCCTTGATTCGTCACGGTATTTGAATATATTCTAAGCTCAGCCATATTTTGGTGACGGAAATTTCTTTTAAAAAGATACAAATTTGTATCTTACACATTATATTACTCTTAATTATGTAAATAAATATTCCTGATTTATTGATTGAGTATACATTTTTATATTTAGATTGTTTCATATGATAAGAGTCCGCTCAGATCTTCAGTAAATTAATTAATACTTATAAAAAGCATGTTTGCATAATCAAACAGAAATGTAAAATATTATAATAAACAAAATTGTAATAGTTATCGATATAATAAGAATTATAAGTATAAATAAATATATTAAATTTGAAATAACTAAATTATCGATTGAATGAATTAATTGCATTATCATTACGAATCTTCTCAAAATCAGTTTTACAGATTTCTCATCTTAAGAAGATCGGTAAAATCAAGCGATTCAACAATATTAAGATTGAAATATCAGGAAGTTAATTACTTTGTAACGCAGTGAGCAGCGGTAAGGACCCATTGTGTGCCGATGAGGGCACCGCCGCAGAGGTACTGATTAAGGGAGTTGATGAGGGCTACCTGCCAGCACCATTCGTTTGCATCAGCGTCCTCGCCTCCAACGACTCTTGCTCCTCGATCAATTATTCGAGCTTGAATGGGAGCATGAGATGTCCCTTTTACACCACACACATACTTATTGTACACGGGGCTCTTCGTCGTCGTCGTTGTCATCATCGTCGTTGTTTCATCTATTCACGTGCCAAAAGCTATTAATGTGTTTTAACAAAGATGCGAGAAGACTATTAATTTTGATTTCACTCTTATCGACGATTCGATTATTTTGTAATCTTGTCAGTTTTCGATATATTTTCATATTTTTATAACGAATATGAATTCCATTCAACAACAATCAATTATGCGTAGTTAAGGAAATTATGGATTATTACGTGTAATTTTGATTATTAATCTTATTAATAGAATCGCAAGCGTGAATAACAAATTTAAGCTAATTAAATTTTTTTGGATTCTATGTCTATGTTGTTAAACGGTTTTGAAAATTGTTTAAATCTGTGTATACTCACATTATACTTATTATTGTTAGTTTCGAAATTTACAGTTAAACAAAATAATATAAATGTATTATAATCAAATTATAAAGAATTGGATTCCCTATATATCCCTATACATTTCAATTAAAATTGGGAACTGGCAATTCTAGATATGTTTTTATATTTTATATAGTTATGATATTACGACATATGCATAAAGCTGATATAATACAAATGTGTGAATTTGTTTTTAATTATATCAATTTATTTATTTATATATTTTTTATTTTATTTATTTTATTTATTATTATAATTATATCAATCCTATTTGCTTTCATATAGATATTGAATACAATTATTGGCTAACTATTATCAAACAATTGGACTTATTATAACAATGGACAAGTTATACTTATTATTTGTGAACTTATATTTATTCATGCTTCACTTTTATATGTATGAAAGTATAAGATTAATTAATATTGATAAATATTATAGTGTAAAAATAAATGAATATAAAATCACAACTTACGGAACAATGTTGATGACGAAATTGTATAAGATGGATGAGGTGTAAGAGTAAATATAGTATCATTTCTATTACTTAATGTCGAGTCACTCGTATTATGACCATTAATTCCTTGGAATTCTCGAATTACCGATTTCGCAGCACAACACTGATGACCAGGCTTTTTACATTTGAAGATATTTGTTAATTCTGCATTATCTACCAATTAAACATAAATAAATTCAGAAACAAATGACGAATTAATTTTATATTAATTAGTATTACACATAATTTTTATAAAAATGCATTATTAATAATTATTAATTAAAATACATACTTTATTTTGACTATGACTTTTTATTTCTAATTATAGTTTATATTACAAATATTAAAGAAACAAATTTTTCATAATATATAATGAAAACCAATAGTTCTTAATTCAATTTATTGTATATTCATCATACAGTCGTCGAAGAAATTAAATTAAAGAAATTAAAACGATTATAATATAATCTAAAATTAATTTGAAATAAGAATACGATTATAATTTTTCACAAACAGGAAACTTACTAAAACAAGTAAAGGACAGATAGGAGACTATGCATGATCCGCGACATTCTGGACGTGGATCCGGTGGAAGTGTTACAGTGGTCACTAATGGCCTAGAAGTAGTTGATCTTGGCTTTGGTCTTCTTGTCTGTAAATTAATTATAATTAATCGATTTCCGAATAAGTATACAGAGGTAGAAAAAGTACAGGTAATGAAATTTCATTTGCATTTTTAAAACGACGGCTTATGTGAATAAAAGCAGTTTTATTTTTTCTGCAAAATTTATACAAACCCTTCTTCAAAAAAATTTTTAAAGTTTATAAATTATTTACTGGTGGACTCTTCGTATTATCACAGCAAAACTGCCCTGTTGTACAAGTTGACGTTCGATAAATAATAACGTTTGGTCTTTCACAAAAAGCCAACATTATGTTCATTAGACAGAAGCCTGGACAAGTTGGTAGCTTAGGTTGAGGTGGTTTGGTTGTCGGTCGCAATGTCGTTGTAGTGTCCTGAAAAATATATTTTACAAATCTTATGAAAAGATATAGATCTAGTAAAGAATAAACCACGAACATACGTACATAAATAATAAATTAAATTGTTATTATTAATTAAAAACTTAATTGATTATACATTTAGTATAAGTAATACTTGAAATTACATTAAACTTTGAAGTTTTGTAAACAAAATTGTTCTAAATATAAAAAAAAGTTTAACATAGTGTGAGATTTTAATAAATTTATATAAAAACAAAACATAAAAAACCTAACAACTAGAAACTGCGATGAAAAATTGAATTGTAACTGATTTTAATTTAACAGTAAAATAAAATTACAACCATGTACAAAAATTCCTTCCAAAGAATGTCGAAATGATTAATTGAATATTTATGGGAGAAATCAATTTGTGCATTTTTTCTAATTTTTACAAATTTTTTACTGCTTAAGATAAGAATTATGGAAAAACTATATACTTGATTTTTTTTAAAATAGGCTCGAAGCAGTTGAGCACAAGTCATTTTCTCTGTGTCCACTGCAAACGTATAATTGATAATGCAACGTAAAAATCAAATGAGTGGATAGTAATAAAGGGTTGATGCTAATTAGTCCGTACCTTCTTAATAATGTTATCCCTGATGCAGCAATAGCCAGAGTCACCACAATCTGCCTCTGTGTCGACGTTTTCGCAGATGAGGGCAAAGAAAGGACTTACGCACTCGCCACTACAAGGCTTTGGAGGTCCCTGTGAGGCGGATCCTGGCCTCAATGTCGTCGCGGTACTAGTGATGCTTGTAGGGCTGGAAACGTAGTTTGTACTTGTTGCGTGACTCGGAGGACCATGACCGATGACAGGAGTGACGGACGAAGTGCTTGCCGGGCTCGTCTCTTCCACGCGAGTCAGGTTGGACTTGGTCCGATCAATGACAAGGAGTTCGGCTGGAGGTGAGTCCCCAAAAAGATCGCGCGATACGCAGCATCGGTAGCCGAACTTGCAGAGGTTCTCTACGTTCAGCACTGCGTCGCAGTAGTTGGCGATGCGCTCGGCCATGCAAATGCCCGAACAACTCTTCGCTGTAGGGTCGGAGGTCACCAGGGGGTTAGGCTCGGCTTTTGCCAAATCGAGGCGCTTTACTTGCCGCGAGTTGCTTTACTTAGCCTTTTGCGATTTTTTATCTTGATTTCATAAGGGAAGGGGAAGCATTTACGCGTACGATTTATTCTTAATTAACCCACCTTGCTATATAATTTACTCTATAATGCGTTGGGATACTTACGAGACAACTTGTCCACTTCTTCCTTTTTATTTTCCTGAAAGAATAATAATATACACATATTAATCATTGTCTCAAGAATTTATGTAAATGGTTGAACGAATATTTTCGATATTAATTTGAAAGCATAAAAAAGCAACTACAATTATTCTGAATTAGAGCAGATAATCTAGTTCGTAAAAATGCTATATATTATGATAATAAAATTTTAATAATTAAATAATAAATTTTTTATCTTTCTTAACCATATATAATGTTAAGTTGATAACATTACTAATCTTGCGTGAAAAATCTATCAAATATATTAAATAAAAGGATCTTGGAATAGTTTCGAGAACGATTTAATTTGAAATTTACCGCGATTGGCTTGGCGTTTGTTGTATTTGAACTCGAACTTATACTAGTGTGTGATATGACCGGGTTGATAATGCTCGTCGGTTTCTGAGTGCTGGCAACCAAGGGTATAATTGGACTGCTGGTTACATTGAACTGCTGTTGCTGCTGATGCTCATAATTTTGAACGCTGCTGGCGTTCTTGTGCTCGTAGTCTGTAACTTCGTTGGAGACGCTTCCAGTACTGGTATTGTTCATCGGCGAATCAACACAGCAACGCATCGAGGGTTGCGGACAGGATACATCTTCCAGGACTTCGTAACACATTATAGTGGCAATCGCATGAACGCACATGCCAGGGCAGTTCTCGCTGTTAGCCGTGCTCGTAATCGAATCGAGAAGGCCTGTGAACAGATACTCACATATTTATTACTGATCAGCATGTTTCTTGAATAATACTTCATATGATACTATGAACTCACTAGTTTTTAAAAATCTGTCTCGATGAAAAATAAGTTATGTAAATTATGTTTATATTTAGAAATATAACTCATTTGCAGTTAATTGTAGCCTAATAATAGTAAGACTATAAGAACTTTAATCAAATTTTTATATTTTAGTTTTATAATAAAGAATTTATCTCTCTTTTCTTCTTTATTTTCATTTAACCTTTCATTCAGTTAGTCATAAAAGATAGAGTAGTATACGGTATATGATACAGTATGGTTATATAGTTTATACAATAAATTTATTCAAAAGATCATTAAACATATATTATTCAACTATCCCATTTGTTTGAAAGCATTGTATTTAATTAAAAGACAGTTTTCATGTTTATATCATAGTTAATTCTTAATGATTCTCCTTTATCCACTTACAGCTTAATCGTTAAAGATATCCTACTTAATTCAAATTATCTCAACTACTCCGTATGTTTTCCAACAACGGTTTAAGTGTAAACATCTGTCTCGACAAAGATTATTCTAAAACGTTAGTATTTAATTTCGTATTAAAACAAGTGTCCCTTTATTTTAAAGAAAACCTGTTTAATTCGTCACACATTAACCCACTTACAATAATAATTTTCAACCGTGAATATTTGTCTGTGCGCCTGCAGCACTTTGAAATGAGTTAGGAGTAAAAATGCGTCTGGACTAGCCCAAAATGGAAAAATATGTAAAAAGAGCTTCGACCCGAAGACCTTGACAAAAACAGTTAGGTTACCGCTGGCTGTTATCTTTCTATAAACGAGTGTCAAATACCGCTCCACTTCAAGCAATCGAAGAATACACCGGTAATGCCGTTGCCCCTTATACTCTTTCTCTCATCTGTATATTAAATATTGACTGGTGTAATAATATTTGTTGTATGCCATATTTTACAATGTGAGGCGTAAAGCGCGGGAAGCAAAACCACTCCCAGACTATTGTAAGGCCTAACTGTATATAGTACTTATGAGTCGTACGGGATTGAGGAATCGAAAGAGAAGAATTCCTGCATGCATAATCGTCTGATGGACCATATAAATAGTCCATGGGATGCCTGCACTTGATCACGACGACAGAGTCCTTGCAGTAATGAGGTTGAATAACCGGTGAGCATGGCACGCGATTTCTATAGTTTGCCGGAAGTTAAGACGCACCGCCGACGCGGAGAAATTCGAACGCGGCAATCGAGTCACATTGGCCGTTCCTTTTCTTTCTCCCCTTTTTTTGTCGTCTTTCCCATTCACCGGCCGGATGTCATCGAAGAGTCGAAAAGCGTAATAATGCTAAGACTAGTAAGTTGACAATAATCGATTATTTATTTTTCAAAATATCGAATCTTTATTTACTGTAAACCAACTACGTAGCGATCGTAAAAAATAATCTGACTGAATAATTTCTCGATCCTGACAATGATTAAATTCAACTGTATTGCAATTGCAACATTTTTCGTCAACAGACATTTCAAAATATTATTTGATAAAAATGTATATTAATGTATGGTAATGTACTTTATTTCACACATGATACCTTTAAATAAATTAAATAAGTAGTATTTGTTAAGAGAATGTTGAGTATGCTAAGAACATCAGTACCTATAAATAATATTTTAAGATGCTTTA